TTTGTTTTGTTTTGTTTTGTTTTGTTTTGTTTTGTTTTGTTTTGTTTTTGCTTTTTGAGACAGGGTTTTTCTGTGTAGCCCTGGCTGTCCTAGAGCTCACTCTGTAGACCAGGCTGGCCTCGAACTCAGGAATCCGCCTGCCTCTGCCTCCCAAGTGCTGGGATTAAAGGCGTGTGCCACCACTGCCCAGCATGTCTTTCTGTGTGTCTCTTGGTGGAGGAGTGCACAGGAGTTTGGGTGCTTGTAGAGATGAGAGGAGGGTCCCAAATTCCTAGAGCAATAGTTGCAGGTATCATGACCTACCTGACATGGATGCTGGGAACTGAGTGCAGGGCCTCTGTAAGAGAAGCAAGCATCCAAAGCTCCTCAGCAATCTCTTGAGCCCCAGAGCTGGTTTTAAAATTGTTCTTATCTGAGTATGGTGGGTCATGGCCGAATCACCGAATTGGGGAGTCTGTAATAGCAGGATTGCAGTGAGTTCATAGCCAGTCTGGACTGTGGAGTGAGACCTTGTCTAAAGAAATGTTTTATGTTCTTATATAAGCATGCTGGATGGAGAATACTCCAACTCCTTTTAGTTAGGTGTTACCTTCAAAGCCTCTCTCAATGGAAAATCTCATTGACAACTAGGTGTAGTGCCTCATATCTAATTCCAACACCTAGCAGGTTGAGAGAGGAGGGATCACTGTGAGTTAAGAGGCCATGGAGTTACAGTAAAGTACATTCCCAAGCCAATGTGGACAAGAAAAATAATAATCTGGAATGGGAAATAATAATCCTGTCTGGGAAAGTAATAATCTCATTGATGAAGATTGATGTACTTCATCCCTCACTGTGAATGAGAGGCCATGTATATAAATTCACCCTGGTGATTCAGTATTTTATATGTGCTGTTTTATACATGTGCAGAATTTGTGAGGAAACCACTTCAAGTTTATAACAACTCACCTCCCTTCTGTAATAGTAACTTTTATTCTCTGGTTGTAATTGTCTCTGAAGCTTACTGCCTCCATCTGCTAACCTATGCCTAGAATGTTTTTAGTCTCAGACTTACTGCTGAATAAGCTCACCCTTTCTAGCTTTTTCTGAAGTGTTGTTGGCTGGTAATTTAGCTCTTTTGGCTCAAATTCCTCTCCATGCTTCATTCAAATCTGTCTTCTCTCTGCCTTACTGTCTTCTGACTGCATTGCTCTGCCCGGCCTCAAACTAACTCTAGCAGTCTGTTCCAATCTGGCTCCTTATTTGCTGGCTTGTTCTGTCTTCACATGTGTCTAGCTTGTTCTCTCTTGAATCTGTTTCTGTAACCTGAACCTCTCTCCCTCTGCTCTGCTCTCTTATGTTGCCTCTTTTCTCTCTCTCCTCCTGAGAGTTGGGCATATACGATTCTGTCACATCTTTCTCTGTCACTTTATCTGCCTCTCAGACGTCACTTTCAAACTTGGGTGCATCCTTCTACTGACTTTACCTTCATTGTTTAGGGCTAAGGGTATGTCTGTATTCCAGTAAGAGGGATTAAAGATGCTAAGGGCTCTGAGCCACACCATTTCACTGGCTTTTATTGTCTGATTGGTTTTGCTTTTAGGCAAGATCTTATCCAGGCTGTCTTTGAACTCACTGGGTAACCATTTCTTATAAAAGAAAGATAAATTGATATCAATAGCTTTGAAGCTCTGTGTGCTTTTGTTAATATTAACAAGCTATTAGAAAGTAGAATATAGTAAGACAAAAATGATAATAACCATGTATCCTAGCAGTAGAGGGTTTGCTCACCATACACACAGCCCTGGGTTCAATCCCTGATACCACCTGATAAAACAAACAGAAAACATCAAATGTCAAGGAATAAATTTAATGGTAACATGAGATCAACAAACTTCAATCTAGAAAAATATATAAACAATATATATATATAAACAATATTGGGTGAAATATAAATGACATGGAACATTTTAAAAGAAAATTTTATTCATGAATGCTCTGTCTGCCTTTATGTGTCTGTGTAACATATGCATGCCTGGAGCCCACAGATTCGATGAGGGTATTGATCCCTAGAGACTTGAGTTGCAGCAGGTTGTAAACACAGTGTGGGTGCCAAGAATTGAATCTGTGTCCTTTGCAAGAGCAGTAAGTGCTCTAAGTCATTATGAATTTTCTTGCTCCAAAGAACACATTTTAAACTCTACTACAATTTTGAATTTTAACTGACTCCTATCTTTGAATTTAGTGATCTATAGTAATCCTTCTCATAAACTTCCAGTATCTTTAACAAGTCAAATTACAAAACTCAGACGCCAGCCTGGTCATGAGACCCTGACTCAGAAGAAAAGATTTACTAATAAGTAATTTATTTGTTTTGGGGGGTGTATGTGGGGGGGGGCATGCTTTTGTTTGTTATTTTGAGGGACTAACTCTATAGTCAAGGTAGTCTGAAACTCATACTGTGGCATAGGCCAGTCGGAAGCTCATGGGAAGTCTCCTGCCTTAGCTCCTTTAGCTCTGGATTCATTATTACTAACTTTTAGGTGTTATTCTTTTTTTTTACACTTATTTGCATGTATGTGTGTGAACATGTGGTTATTCTTTTTTTGTTTGTTTGTTTGTTTTGTTTTGTTTTTCGAGACAGGGTTTCTCTGTATAGCCCTGGCTGTTCTGGAACTCACTCTGTAGACCAGGCTGGCCTCGAACTCAGAAATTCACCTGCCTCTGCCTCCCAAGTGCTGGGATTAAAGGTGTGCGCCACTACCGCCCGGCTAACATGTAGGTATTCTTATGGAGAGCAAAAAAGAGCTTATGAGTCAGTTCTTTTTACCGTGTGGATCCTGGTGTCATCAAATTCAGGTTTATAAAGGTTGGCAGCAAGCAAGGACCTTTATCTGCTGAGCCATCTTGCTGACCTATTGAGATCTAATTTTTAGCAAAATTTAATCATTTTTAGTGGCAGAGCAAGTTGAATTTTAATAAATGCATTCAGAATTGTAGCCACAATTAAAATTGTGATGGTATTTTTTCTAGTAGCAATAAGTAATTACAGAATGAATAAAAATGGATCATAATTTCAAAACCTTTTAGCGTCTTTTTAGCTGGGGATGTAGCTCTGTGGTAGAGTGTGTTCTTTCCATGTGCAAGGCCCTGGGATGTAATCCTAGCATTGAAGAGGAAAAAACATCAGTATTGTACGTGAATATTTGTTTGTGGAGAATACACAGCAGTTTTTCTTTGTAGATGACCCAAAAATGAGTACCACACTCAGAGTTGGAGCTCACATTGCTGCAACACTGTTTCCCCACATGTCGATGGGTATTGATAGATAGGTGAAGCACAGATCAAACTTCAGATCCCGGCAGGCTTTTGCATTCTTTCTAAAAACCATATGGAAGAGTATTTACAGTAGTCTGAATGATTGTGAAGAAACAAACAAGAACTCAAGAACTTAATTTTAAATTACAGTTATTAGGCAGTGTGCAGCTAGTAGAAGTGTAAACAGACAGATTGATAGTGTATTCTACTGGGAATCAAGAGTCTCCTGTTTAGCTGATGGGGGCAAAGATTTACTATTTTAGTGTAATTCATTACAGTGAATGCAGCCTAGCAATCCTGTGAGAAAATGGGCCCAAGTGAGGCCTATACACATTCACAAAGAAGATAGCAAATCTTAATGAGTCATCAAGAATTTGGGTCTGTGTTCTTGTGCCCATGTGCATACCTGCAGAAACCAGAACTTTGTACCATGTGTCTTAACCTTGTGCTCTCTACTTTTTGCTTTCCCCCTTCATTTTGTGAGGGAGTGGGAGTATATACACATAAGCACTGGAGGTCAGAAGCCTTTCCCTTGGATTCCAGGAGTGTACTCAGGACATCAGGCTCACAGCAAGTGCTCACGGAGCCATCTTTCAGGCCCTAATGGTTTTATGTATCAATCCATCACAGTGAGACATTTAACAGTTAGAACCAATTCAATGAAATACAAATTATCATAAGTATTATATGAGTGTTGTTGATGCTTTGTTTCTGGAATTTTCCATTTAACGGTTTTGGGCCTTGCTCCCTCCATGAGGAGGGACTGCTATAATACATTAACTTTATTTAGTGTACTGATCAATTTCTCTTGTTTTCATATGCTAAAGCTTACCTTTTATTTCGATTGACAGAAGGGCTGGCAAAGCCTCACAGTATATCTCAGGAGCTGCCAAGTAAAAGTTCTTACGGACTTAAAGGTATGAAGAATGTTTTGTTTTGAAATTTTGTATAGTTAAGTATCATACAGAACTGATTATATCATTCATTGGTAGGCTCTTAACATAGACATCCTGAGGCCTAGGTTTTACCCCAGTGCTACATAAGGAGGTGTGGTCCATTGGTACAGGTTGAGCAGAGTTTGAGGCCAGCCTCAAAAGAAAAGAAACAAAGTTTTGAGCCTTCTGGGTAACAGCACAGGTCCCCAGTCCTGATGAGTTTGATCCTGAGGACCCATAAGATGGAGTGAACAGACCCTTACAAGTTGTCATCTTGCCTCCACATTGATACCATAGCACCTGTAACCTACCTCACTCCCACCACAAAATAAATACAACTAATAAATTTTTTAAAATTTAAAGTTGTGTGGTTTTGGGCTGAGTGCAGTGCTTGCACACTGCAAGCAGAGGCAGGTGGGTCTCTTCAAGTGCAAGCCCAGCCTGTTTTCTATAGGGAATTCTGGGATAGCCAAGATCCCATCTCAAAAAAAAAAAAAAAAAAAAAAAAGAGAGGGGAGGGGGAGAAAGAAAGAACAGGTGAAGGGAGGAGGAAGGAGACTCGTCAAAAACAAGCATTGTTCTTTATACGCACACACCAACCAATCTAGCTTATGAATGAATGAAACTCACACTATGGATATATTATTTGGCTTTGACAATTACTGGGGGAATAACCCTTAATCTAGTTTTCTAACTGCTGGTCTGGCTACTTGCCCAGTGGTGTGCCCCAGATACTTGCTGTTTCTCCTTGCAGGCTCTCATGGTCCATCTCCCCTTGTGGCAGCTTCCTCCTTCTTCCCAAGTCCTCCTCCTTCCACTCTCTGCAGCCCCACCAGGAAACTCAAACCCTGTCTACCTCTGATCTCTCTAGTAATTGGCTATTCCATTTTTATTTAACCAATAATTTTAAATTAAGGAACAAGGTTTGCACAACAAAATCTGGTAAATGTGAGACTGCACTCATAGGCAGGTAGACCTCTGACCTCTGGATACTCGATTCGGCATTATACTATATAGCAACAGACCAGAGTCTCACCTTACCTTTCTTACCTTTCCCATGGCCTCCTTCACTCATGCCTCCTGGGCTTTTAGTTTCTGAAGTGCTGGGCCTGAACCCAGAGCATCATATATACTGTGTAAATACTAGTGAACTCAGCCTGTTTAACCCCACACATACTGTTGCAGGCTGTAAAGGATGTCCTCACAGTTATCCCATATGTTTTAGGGTATTGGACAACATTTCTGAAATTCAGTTGTTTGCATGAAATTCTAACTATAAAATTTGAGTGTTCTAGATTTACTAAGAATTCAAGCTCACCTTGTTCCATAGCCAACAAGGGGCATTTTTATGCTGCTTGGTGTATGGCAGGCTACTACAACACGTGCTTCTGGCTTTCCCCTGCATTTCCTGATGTAGCAGTTACGGTGTCCAGCTCTCCTGCCTACAGCTATTATTATGCACTTTGTCTTTCTGCTTGGAAACCAATTCAAGTCTCTCACCTGATTATGCATGGCCTCATTTGTGTGAATTCTGGACGTAGAACAGGATGACATTCATGGCATGAGATGTGAACTCTGCAGGAAACCATGTGCTATTGCTAATACTTTTTAATCTTGCTCTTTAAATCTGATGGTCAGATTTAGATCTGATTTAATCTTCATATCAGGCCTGGGGCAGATTTGTATTATAATAGTGTTCCTTTAAACTTTTTATTTTACTTTTATGATAGTTTTATGTTCGTGGGTGTGCACACACATGAATATACATGCACGTGTAAGCTGAAGTCAAGTTTGGGTGTCATTTCGTAGGAGCCATATCTTTTGTATTTTGAGACTGGTCTCTCATTTAGCTTGGAGACTCCAGCAGGTTTAGCTGGCTGGTCCGTGTGCCTCAGGGTTCGGCCTATCATCGTCACTCTTCAGCATCGACCACGTGCCAACATTTCCAGCTTATTTGTGTATGTGTGATGTGTGGAGGGAAACACACCCAAGAAAAGCATGAAGTGAGTCTGGAGGAGGACATTAGGTATCTTCCTCTACACTTTCCATCCTATTCCCTTGAAGCAGGCCTTCTTACTGAACCAGAAACACCATGCTGGCTGAGCAGTGAGCTCCTGGTATCTGCATGTCTCTATTCCACAACACTGCTTGGTAATGCTCAGGCTTAGCTTGAGGAAATTCAAACTCCATTCTGCAGGGTTGCACAGCACAACAAAGACACTTACCCACTGTGCTGTCTGTTTAGCCCCTGGGTACTTTTTCAGTTTTAATCATGGATACTCAGATGAATTTCAAGTCCTCATATGTTTTTTTTCCCCCTGTCTTTTTTTTTTTTGACACAGGGTTCTCTGTATAAAGCCCTAGCTGTCCTGCCTAATACTAATACTTGCTCACTAGACCAGGCTGATCTCAAAGTCACAGAGATCCGTCTGTCTCTGCCTCCTGATTGCGGGCATTAAAGGAATGGACCACCACCACACAGCAAGTTCTCATACTTGTATAGTTCACTGACTGTGCTAACTCTTCAGCAGTGTGTGTGTGTCTCTGTGTGTGTGTGTCTGTGTCTGTGTGTGTTGGCAGTACCAGAAATTGAACCATGTACATACAAGGCAAGCAAGCTAATGTTAAGGTGTATCTTGCCCTTCTGTCTTATTTAATTGTTTGCTTATTTTATATTGTTTGTTTGAGATAGGCAGGGTCTCGCTACATAGTCCTAATTTATTCCAGAACTATATATACCAGGTTGGCCTTGAACTCATAGAGCTCCCTCCTAACTGCTGGGGTTAAAGGTGTGTCTCACCGTATTCTAGTATTTAATTTCTAAAAATGTAAATTATAAGGAGTAAAAGTAGAGTTGTGGTTGACTTTGTGCTCTTCCTTTTCGTGTTCCCTGACAGGTGCCTGGAAGAATTCTGTGGAAGAGTGGACAACAGAAGACTGGACTGAAGATGTAAGTCTGGCATCTATTCAGACCTTTCTTCCCCTTCTCTTGTGTCACAGCTTCTTTGCTTCACCAAAGGCCCAGACCACCAGTTCATCATCTTAGCTTTATATTCTTTTGGCTTCTCAGGTTTTTTTTCCCCCAGCACATGGATCTCAGAAAGAAACTAGTGGTTTTGGTTTTTGTTTGTTGAGACTCTGTCTATATATGGCTGTTACCTCCTAGAACATAGGATTCAGTCCATTTCACTTCTTGGTGCCCCTTTAATACTTGAACCATATATTTTATATTTTTCCTTTTTTTCTCCTAACTTTCCATACAGCTTTCTGAAACAAAAGTCTTCACTGCATCGTCTGTTCCAGCAGAGAGTCAGGTCACGCCTGGACAGAGGTAAAGGCTTTTGCTTTTTGTTGTTGTTGTTGTTGTTGTTTATGTTTTCCTCATCCAAAGGATAATTATAAATTTATTTGTTTAGGACAACTATTTACTATTTTGACTCAAATTCTTCAGTTTCTCCTTCACTCCTCTATTACCCTTTATCTCCTCTCCCCCACTGTGCTCAGAGCAAGCTTCGTGTACATCTTATTGGTTGTGTCCAGTGGTGATTGGATGACAGCTCTTCTTGTGATTTGTTAGCAGTTTGGTAGAGATTATGCTAGCCTAATAATAATAATTCATAGTTGACTGTTTACATTAGTAAACTTTACCTGCTCTTCAAACAGGCTCTCATTATGTAGCCCAGACTGGACTGGTTCTTAGAATTCTTCCTGCCTCTACTTCCAGAGTTCTGGGTATATATCATTATTCTTAGCTAAAGTAGCTAAAGCAATTACTTATTTACTTATTTAAAGAATAAGCCAGGTGGTGGTGGCGGCACTTAATCCCATCACTCAGGAGACAGAGGTGGGTGGATCTCTGTGAAGTTCAGGGACTAGTCTAGAAACTTGTAGGATAGTCAGGACTACACAGAGGAACTGTGTCTCAAAAGAAAAAAAAAAAGTAAACTTACTGCATTAAATTCTTTGGTTTCATGCAATTCATGGTTTAGATGGTCTCTATCCTAATTTAAATGTAATTTTGAATAGGTATATTAGTTATAATATGCTTACATTTCAGAAGAAGAAGGGCCTTAGAGGTTAGCATGCTTTGTGTGTGTCTGTGTCTATGTAAGGATACAGGCGTATAGAGATTACAGTACACATAGCTCTGCGTTGTTCTTCAGGAAGGCTTTCCACCCTGAAAAACACTACTTTACCTTTGTCTGTCCATTTGTTTGTTTGTTTTTGTGTTGTGCATACATGTTTATGCATGTGCATCATGCCTATGTGTCAAACCGATTTGTGGAAGAAGTTAGACATCAGTGGACATCTTGTGGGATCCAGTTTTCATGTGGGTTTCATAGATCAAACTCAAGTTATCTAGCTTGGCAGGACCTGACTTTACCCAGTGAACCATATTGCTGGTCCCTTTGAGATAAGTTTCTCAGTGACTAGGAACTATTAAGTAGTAAGGCTTGGCTGGCCAGCACGCCTAAGAACTCAGGTGTCTCCTCTCTAGTGCCACCATGCCTTGAATTTTTTCATACAGAATTTGGATATCAAAGTCAGATCCTTGTACTTGCAAGGATATATCTTTTTACTGACTGAACTATGTATGTATGCAGCCCCCAGGATAATAACACTCTTAAAACTATATTGGATAGTCAGGATTGTAACCCCAGCATTCTAAAGGCTGATCGAGAAGCATCGTGAGTTTAAAGGTAGTTAACACAAATGTATGCATAGCTGAATTATTTTATTTCCCTTCATGATTTTGCTATGTAGTCTAGGCTTTTCTTCCAGCAGTCCGGTTGCCTCAGGTGTGGGTCAGCCTGCCAGGCTTCAGTGAGCGCTTACAGTGCTACCATTTCCACAGTAATTTTAAGCATCTTTGAAAATGGTTTTTAAAGGTCTATGTGAAATTTCCATAGATCTCCAATGCATTTATGACTAAAGGAATTTTCTTGTGGCACGTTAAATTTTTTAAGAAGGTAGTTGAGAGGGCTGGAGAGATGGCTCAGTGGTTAAGAGCAATTTTGCACAAGACCAACGTTAGATTCCCAGCACTTACATGGCAACTCACAACTGGCCGTAACTCCAGTTCCAGGTGATCTGCTATCTCCTTCTAATCTCCATGGGCATGAGGCATGCATGCAAGTGAAATATTCACACATTAATGAAAAAATACTGCATTAGTCATGATGCTGATTACCTTTTAACTTCAGCATTCAGGAAGTAGAGGCAGAGGGGCAGAAGTCCAGAGGAAGGCTCAGGTACAAAATAAATTTGAGGACTTGGAACCCTATATAAAAAAAACCAGGTACACCAAGAACAGCCTTGTCTCCACAAATTCTCAGCACAACTAATCAGAAGGCACCAGGAATGACAGACTCGGGTGCTGCCGATGACTGTCACCTTAGAGTTTGGCAGCTCACTCTTATTTATTATGATGTGTGTTTGTGTTCATTTGTTTATTTGAAATAGGGTCTTACCTTGTAATGTTGGCTGTCCTAGAACCTGTGTAGACTATGCTGGCCTTAAACTCGCAGAGATCCACTTGCATCAGCCTCCCAATTGCTAGATTTAAAGGCCTCTGTCATCCCTGCCTGGCTTAGTCCATTCAGTATGGGGTTTTGAGGAATTCACCTCTTAGCAATAGTCATCAAGGGTTCATGGCTTTTATATTACAGTTATTCTCTCATAAATACTAAAATGCTAACAGTAAATTTACATCCTGGAAACAATGATGTGGTGATTTCCAAGCACATATCTGATGATTCCATGTGGAATTTAACTACTGAGTTTCCTGGGCCAAGGTAACAACTTCTTTACTTGTCAATGACCAGTAAACTGGAATAAAAGGTTCCTCATCATACAAATGGTTTTTAAGACGTTTTTTATTGTGTTTGTGTGTGTGTGTGTGTGTGTGTGTGTGTGTGTGTGTGTGTGTGTATTTGGGGTGTAAGGTACGAATGTTACTGCATGTGAGTGGAGGTCAGAGGACAGTTTGTGTCAGTTGGTTCTCTCCTTCACCGTGGGGATCCCTGAGATTGAATCAGGTTGACAAGCTTTGGTGGATGATGTCTTTATTCTCTAAGCTACCTCACTGGTCCAAACCCTGGGCTTTTAAAAGTTTGCTCATTCACTCATTTATTTGTGAGACAGTGTCTCTCTCAGTATATAGCACTGGCTGTCCTGGAAGTCACTATGTAGACCAGAGATCTACCTGCCTCTGCCTCCTGAATGCTAGGATAAAAGTGTGCCAGCAAGCCCAGCTGTAGCACTTTTACAGGAGACCCTGCAGTACTGTTACTCACTTGAGTCTTTGGTAACATGTTTTATAATCACCATATGTAATACACATAACTTGTTTGTGTCACTGGAATACATTAAAAGAAGCTGCTCACCAAAGCTTCTCTTTTAATGTATGGAATGGAATGCAATGGAATACTGGGATATTATATATTAGAACATTAACTTAGGTTTTAGATTATTAGCCTCAGAATTGAAATTGGTTTCAGGAGAGTAGAAATGGTTGTTTATATAAGAAAAAGAACTCTGGCTAGAAGCTTAGTCAATATGGGAATAAAGCCTGAATGATTAACTGCCCAGGACCTGTCTCACTGGCATGGTGAGAGTTTCAGTTAGAGAGCTGTGTGAGCAAAGGTTTGAGAGGCCTCAGGGAGCATCGTTCTGGTGACCCTCTTGAGGTCCCACTCTATGGCTGACTTATTCCTTTGGTTGGGAATATTTATTGTGGCCTCATTCTTCTAGGCCATGCTCTCACACTGGAATATTAGGTGGTCTTTTGGGCAAGGTCATGGGGCATTATAAGATACTCTGTTGCTAGAGTCTTTGCTAGTTGTAATTCCTTTATTCTTAAGTATTTTACGGAGAAAATTATACATGTGTAAATATGTTACAGGACAAAATACAGAATGTATGGATATTTTAAATAAGTAAATTTAAGACTTAAACCTTTCTTATAGCTTAATGCTTTAGGTCTTAATGTTTTAAGAATATTGATCCACTCTGTTTCAAGAAAATTGAAGCTAAGGAGGTCGCACACCTTTTTTTTAATCCTAGCACTGAGAAGGCAGAGTCAGCTGGTGTACTTAGTGATACTGTCTCAAAGCAAACAAAAATCAAAAGTTCAAAGGGGGAACAAAAGGAAATTGAAGAAATTTGAGGTCAATAATGGTATTTGTAAGCTATTACAGTTCCTCTCTTTGAATCATTGGGATTCCTCTAATTCCAATGCACCTTCTAAAGTGCTGCAGTTCACTCTCTCTGATTCTGTAACCTGTTTTTGGTGACCAGCTTCTCTTTTAATCTCTCTGAAACTCTATTATCTCTAGCTTAATTTTTGTTTGTCCTGATGTTCTCTCCAGTTGCCTGGCTGGTGCAACTTGCTCATGACAGCTGATTGCATTTGTCTTTCATGTGCTTAGCATTGATCTGGTGGCCTTGCTCCACAAGCCTGCTCCTCCCACCCAAGCCGCGGAAGTCAACTCCTTTGAAACGTCCCAGCAGCAGGGCTTTGGCCAAGCTCTTGTCTTCACAAATTCTCAGCACAACAATCAGATGGCACCAGGGACTGCAAACTCCACTTCTGCCAGCTCATATTCTCCTCAGAGTTTGGTAACTCACTTTTATTTCAAGTTGGGGTCTTAAGGAATTCACTTATCGACAACAGTCGTCAAGAATTTGTGACTCATACCTTGCCTTTAATTCCTCAAAAATAGTCATATGTTGTCAGTAGATCTTCACCCAGGAAACAATGATGTGATTTCCAAGCACATATCTGATGATTCCGTGTGGAATTTAGCTACTGAGTTTCCTGGCCAAGATAAAAACTTCTTTATGAATTTTTGTCAATGAATGGTAACTGGGATGATGGCATCCTTTTTATTAGTGAGTTTTTAAAACTTTTTTCACTTGTTTCTATTTCTTGTGGGTGTGCTTATATGTATGTATGTATGTAGACCATGTCCCATTTGAAGAGATTAGAGAACAGCTTGTCAGCAGTTCTCACCCTCCTCTGGATCATTTTCGCAGTTCAAGTGATTGTTTTCCCCCCTTAGATTTTGTTTCAAAGTCTGTGTCTGTACTTAATGTTCTTCTTGTCTGTGTGTTCCTAGTTTGCACTTTTCTTCTCTATTTATAAAACATGCTTTTTCTTAAATTGCCAAATAATATGTTAGAGGACCTTCCACTGGAATGTTTTCCTTGATGGTGTCACTACAGGTGTATGTGACTCTTGGTGTCTTCAGTTCATTAGAAAGAAGTCTGAGATTGCTAGTGAAGATGACAGGCAGGTAGGGCTTAGAAGCTTGGAGTGCAGTCTGTGAGGGATATCTGGGGTCTGTTCTAGTCCTAAGTAAATACAGATGAAAACCCTTGGTTTTTACTGTCTTATCAATGTGCATTTCCTTATCAATATGTCCTTTCCGTTGCTATTGGTGTGATGTTTTTCTGACTTCTAGAATCTCTCTCTGGTCGCTGAGGTCAGAAGTAGAGCTAAACCATCAAATCTGTTTTATGTTATAATCAATGCCTTGATAAATTGTTTAGCATTTTAAGGCCCCTGGCCCTAAACATTGCTTCTATTTATAACCATTGAGGGAAAATAGTAAATAACAATTTAATAATAATAGTAAAAATAGGACAGAAAAATAAAAATGGTAAAAATAAGACAGAGTCAGAATGTGTATGATTAGGACTTAAATACTGTGTCTGTATGTAATTTATGCACATGCATGTTAGTATGCTTTTTTGTGTCTTATTGGTTCAGTGAAGTCGCTGGAATGAAGAAACCCCGTATTCGAGTGTTACAGAGAGCAAAGCAGTGAGCACAGTGAAAGCGCATTTGATGAGAGTAGGTGGATGATGGACGCTGTGTCAATGGAAGAGTAACATTTGGGTAGACTTGATGCAGATGGCCTTGAGCAGGACCTCAATGCAGGCAGGAGCCATGATTGATGGGCCTCAGCTGACCATGACCTAGGGTCTGCACTGGGGGACTCTAAATTTTCTAACTGGTATATTCCAGACCTTAGAATATTGACAATAGCCAGGCATGGTGTTGCATACCTTTAATACCAGTGCTTGGGAAGCAGAAGCAAGTGGATCTCTGTGATTTGAGCCCACTTTGGTCTACAGAGTGAGATCCAGGACAGCCAGGGCCACACAGAAACCCTGTCTCGGAAAAGAAGAGTGTTGATAATAGAAATAACAATTTCCTCTTTGACCAAACTTTCTATGAGATGCATATTCTCTGGAGGATGGAGCATTGCGTTTGCTTTTGCTGAGTTACGAGATGGTTGATGTTCCTCGTCATCCGAGCACAGAACTGCCGGGTTTTAGAATGGAGCAGGAACACCCAGCATGCCCTGCTCCCTTACCTTAGAGATTCTGGCCATTCACAGGTCTTGAAAGTTTTGTGTTTTGCTTTGTCATGCACATCTTTGTCATCTACTTGCTTGTTTTTTTTGTTTTGTTTTTGTTTTGAGACAGGGTTTCTCTGTGTAGCCCTAGCTGTCCTGGAACTCACTCTGTAGACCAGGCTGGCCTCGAACTCAGAAATCCGCCTGCCTCTTTCTCCCAAGTGCTGGGATCAAAGGCGTGCACCACCACTGGTCGGTGACTTGTTTGTTTTTTAAAAGTTTATTTTGGAGTTAGAAAGAAGGCCCAAGAGATAAGAGCACTTAGGCTCTTGTAGTTTGGTTCACAGCACCAAGAACAAATCAGTACTAATAGATAAAACAGGCATTTGTTTTCTAAGTTTGTAGTAGTAAATGTTTCTATTGTCTTCACTTCACATGAGAATCCGGGCAGAATGCAGTTTTATTTAGTGGACTGTTAAGGCATAGTGGCATTTCTTCATGGACTATTCTCGGAAGCGAGGTTGACCTTTTCAGATGATCCAACTATAGTGTTTTTCCTTCTGAAGACATGTGTGTTTGCAAGCTTGGAGTAAAACACTAAGGGCTTGTTCTCTTTATATCTCCTTAAAGTCATCCGTCCTTGGCTCAGGGTTTGGAGAGCTGGCTCAGTCAAAAATGGTGAACATCTCCAACTCCCAGATTTTGGACAAGTTGAAACCACCAGGTTTGAGCCCATTTCCTGCTGCTTCAAGTGCACAGCAGAACGACACTGCAAGCCCCCCAGCCACCACTGCTGCTTGGGACCTCAAGCCCTCGGCACCCCAGCCCTCAGTCCTCGGTCATTTGGGTAAGAGCTGGTTTATTATATTAAGTCGTCATCAGAGCATGTTGTATGTGAACAGTATGGAGGGATGTGTCCGGAGTCTCTGAGAATACATACAGCTTTGGAAAATTACGTCAGTGGACTTACTGTATAGTGTCTGCGTATAATTAACAGCTAGAGGACAAGAGCAAAAATATTGCCTGGTGGCTCCTACCTGTAATCCCAGCACTCAGAAGGTGGAGGTGGGGGATCTCCATTCATTTGAGAGCAACCTAGGGTATAGAATGAGAACCTGTTTCCAAAATCAAGCACAAGCCATGTGGATAGCTTGTGACATGCCTGTGAACTCGGTTCTTGGTAGGCAAACTAATCTCTGTCAGTTTGAGCCCAGACTGGTCTAGATACTGAGTTCCAGGTTACCCAGGAATATATAGTGAGAACCCGTAAAAAAAAAAAAAAAAAAAAAATACAAAAAATAAGAAGAAAACAAAAAACTGTAAGCAATTGAGACTAGAGAGGTGAATTAGTAGTTAAAAGTCCTGGTTGATCTTCCAGTGGAGCTGGGACCGAGGGTGGAATCTCAGTATCCACACGCTGATGATCCAGCTGTTTGTAGCTCCTGTTTCAGGTAATGCTGTGCCCTTTCCTGGCCTTGATGGGCACATCCGTAGATATGATACACAGATGTGCTCATAGGGTAAACACCTGTATACATAAAAAATAATGACTGGGGGCTGGAGAGATGGCTCAGCGGTTAAGAGCACTGACTGCTCTTCCAGAGGTCCTGAGTTCAAATCCCAGCAACCACATGGTGGCTCACAACCATCCGTAATGAGATTCAATGCCCTCTTCTGGTGTGTCTGAAGACAGCTACAGTGTACTCATAGATAAAGAAAATAAATCTCAAAAAAAAAAAAATAATAATGACTATAGACCAGGATGGCTCTGAGCTTATAGAGATCCACCTGCCTCTGCCTCTCACGTGCTGGGATTAAAGTCATAGCGTTACTCTCTATTTGTAAAGGGAGGAGCATGTGTGAACTTGATGTTTTCTAAACAAAATTTCTACCAGAAACCCCTGTACCATTTCAGAAACGCCTGTACCATTTCAAGCTTTCATTTTTCAGACATTCTCACATGAACACTTGTGTGAGGGAATGGTGAGGGTTATTTCAATCCTAGAGTTGATGACATTCTTGCTTTTGCGCTTAGCATAAATAACAGGCAGATTTCTGTGCTTTATAAGATGACTTGCTATACTCAAAAGTAATGCATGGGAGGACCACTCCTTCATTTCTAGTGGAAGCTGGATTGATTCATAGGCACCCTTTGCCTGACAGATAGCATTATTACATATTTGATAAAGGAAAACAGAGGTTAAGCACAAACCATGTTTCTGTAGATATTCTAGGCATAGCAAGCCAGTCTTATTAAAGTGTTGGCAGCCAACAAACATGCTAGATCCAGCAAGCATTTAAACACACCATTAACAGCCTCTGCTGTTAGCTTTCCCACATAATTAATAAGAAGAGGAGTTTAAAGATAGAAGCATGTTGTTTCTGTGTTCTGTGTGAATGCTTTTTGATACTTGATTCATTCCAGGTTGAAATGGGATGTGCTACTTTTATTTTTTCTTTTTAAACAGGGCTTTGTTCCCAGACTGGCTTTTCACTTGCAATTCTCCTGCTTCAGCCTCCTAAAATTCTAAGATTTCAGGCATGTATACAAACACTCAGATAGTTTGCATTTCTTTTACATGATTTCCATTCAATACGACCAGAAGAGATAAAAGTTGCAATTGGCAATTGATCTTGTTGTATTGTGAAATGGCTGGTATGTTCATTCATTACCACTTTGTTTTTCATAGCTCATCCATATAATTCCAGTTTTTAAAAAAATAGACGGCTGGGCAGTGGTGGCGCACGCCTTTAGTCCCAGCACTTGGGAGGCAGAGGCAGGCGGATTTCTGAGTTCGAGGCCAGCCTGGTCTACAGAGTAAGTTCCAGGACAGCCAGGGCTACACAGAGAAACCCTGTCTCAAAAAAAAAAAAAAAAAAAAAAAAAAGACCAAACATCCCGAGTTTATTGTCCTAAAAGTGAAGGATAAAGCCAGTGTGCATGAACATGCTGTGACCTCAAAAACTAAATTGTGTGAAACTAAGACGGATGCTTATGTCTGTGTCTTTGATGGTCAAGAACCTTGGGACAGAGGGCTTCTCTATAGCAAGAAGGAGAACAGTGGAAAGAGTCACACTTGTCACACATATTCTTTACAATTTTGTAACATTTACACATTATAGTAATCAAAATGGCCTTTTAAAGGTGTACCAAATGGCTGGGGAGATGGTTCAGTTTGTAGAGTGCCTATTCTATTAGGTGGATCAATTGTGTCAAAGCTGGGTATAGTGATACACACATTTGTAGTCCTAGCACTGAGGGGGAAGACAGCGGAACCCCTGAAGCTCAGGCCAGCCAAGTGGCCTGAGTCCTGAGTCCCTCCAAGTTCAGTGCGGGACCTTGTCTCACTCAGCAACATAGGGCAGACAGCAGCTCTGGAAGAAAACTCATTTCCGCTTATTTCCTTCTACATTTATAGACTTCAAATCTCAGCCTGAACCATCTCCAGTTCTCAGCCAGTTGAGCCAGCGACAGCAACACCAGACCCAAGCTGTCAGTGTTCCTCCTCCTGGTTTGGAGTCCTTTCCTTCTCAGGCAAAACTCCGAGAATCAACACCGGGAGATGGTCCTTCTACTGTCAACAGACTTTTGCAGCTTCCTAACATGGCTGTTGAAAATATTGTATCTGCCCATCAACCACAGCCCAAACACATTAAACTCCCTAAGCGACGGATACCTCCAGCTTCTAAGGTAGGCATTCACTCCATCGTGAATTGGGAATATAAGGATAAAAACATTGTGACACAGTGTCTTCAATCAAAACTTGAAATGTTGTCACGCGTAGCATATTGCTTTGGGAGGATTTGGCATCTTTCAGATGCTTGAGCTAATTCTTAGAATGAATTCATGCTGGGAGCCAGAGCCTCCTTAGCTCTGTACAGGCCTGTGATGTAATTCAGAGTGATCTTGTTTTAGTGTATGATGTCTCAGGGTGGGAGGATGTGTGATTGCCTGGCCAGATAGTGCTTTGATCACTCCATGTCCCTGAAAGTAGCAGAGTATCTTCATCTACCATCTGTCCTTGCACCTTCCCCAACAGCTTGAAAGCATTTGTAATATTAATGTGGACCATTCCTCTGTGACCCATTAAGTTGTTTGCTCTGTTTCCCTTATTGTTTAAAAGGTTCTCTTTCTCTTTCTTTTCTTTTTCTCATTTGCTTTTGCCAGTGTAGCTCAAGGAAGTTACTTGTTTGAGTCTTTTGTAAGCCTGTGAGGCCTGAAGTCCCTGCCTTCTGTCGCTGATGAGCTCTGCTTTCGTAGGTTCCCGTGTCTGCAGTGGAAATGCCCGGCTCTGCAGATGTCACAGGGCTGAATGTTCAATTTGGTGCCCTAGAATTTGGATCAGAGCCATCTCTCTCTGAGTTTGGATCAACAGCTTCAGCCAGTGAAAATAGTAATCAGATTCCTATCAGCTTATACCCGAAGTCTTTAAGGTACAAACTCATTTCTTTGGTTGTGACTGAACATAGTCCTTCCTTTGCAAAGCAAAACAAAATGGAGTCAAGAGCTCGGTGAAGACGGCATGATAGTGGTTTTGTGCATCTCCCAGCGGTGTGTAGTTTCAGTCTGCTATGCCCCTCGTTTCTCTCGTTCCTTGCTGCCCTCTGACAGACAAAGTATGTGTCAGAACCGATCTGGAAGTTTCATGGGACCAGAGTCATGTAAAAATGTGGCTTTGTGCCTCTTATCATTTACTTAGAGGTTTCCAAGGTCATCCATACTGTGTGTGGCTTCTGTTGCCAAGCATTTCACTGAGAAGATGTGGCACAGTCATAGTTGGTGGACACTTAGGCTCTTTTCTCTTTTTGCTTTCGGTGGAGCATAATGCTGTGTTACAAGGTTCCTCGTGTGACAACCACCTGGAGACCCCCAAGTTTGCACAGTAGCAGCACCACTTACACTCCCCGGCAATCAAGGACATACCCGACTTCTCCACAGCTTCCCAACATTATTTTCCTTCAGTGGAATATTTTGCAAATAGAAAGAGGCAATACCTGATAAAGACTGTAGTGCACCTTTGTGGTTAATGCTACTTTAGAGTATAATACTGCACTGATTCTGTCTTGTCTTTTTTTTTTTTTTTTTTTTTGGTTTTTCTGAGACAGGGTTTCTCTGTGTAGCCATGGAACTCACTCTGTAGACCAGGCTAGCCTCGAACTCAGAAATCCGCCTGCCTCTGCCTCCCAAGTGCTGGGACTAAAGGCGTGCGCCACCACCGCCCGGCTGATTCTGTCTTTTCACTGAAGCCATCAGATGGTAGCAGCGTGTGTCTAATCCTGTGTCTGTCCTCTTTACAGTGAGCCCTTGAATGCCTCTTTCCCAATGACCAGTGCTGTACAGAGCTCCACCTACACAACCTCAGTCGTTACCTCCTCCACTCTGACCAGCTCGGCCTTGAGCTCCACTAGCCCAGTAACAACTTCCTCCTCTTACGACCAGAGTGCTGTGCATACCAGGATTGCATACCAAAGCTCTGCGAGCCCACCAGACTCAGCTCCAGGCTCGGTTGCTGTAAGTGGGTCTTTGGGGTTTCTTTTCTTAGGCTATCCCCCTTCGAAATTAGCATACTGTTTAGCAAATTATGCTTTAAATTGTAGTTTATTTATTAGTGAGTGTATGTGTTAGGGGTGTTTGTGTTTATTTCTGTGTTACATACATATGGAAGCAAGAGGACAACTTACAGGAGTTATGTTCCTTTTATTTCATGTGTCTAACTCAGGGCATTAGTCTTGCTTGGGAGTTGGTGCCTTTGCTCACAGAACTGTCTTGCTGGCTCAATGTAGTGCTTTAGGGAACAATTTGATGGCCACACCATGCCATTTATCAAAATAATAGCAGTACCATCCTCCTCAGGCACTCGCTTTTGATGAGGCCTACAGTCATAGATATGGACCATCTCCTATCGGACAGTCATCAAACCCTATCAGAAAGCATTGGCCACCCTCATAACTGGCTTGTCACGATTGACCAGTAGTCTGAATTGTTGCCTTCAAGGTTCACAGCTAAGTAAGACTGTTGTTAATGGTAGATCTCTCCCAATACCTTGAGGGCTAGCCAGTAGAGTGGACTGGGTTTTCTAGCCCAGTCCACTTGATGTCTGTCATGCGCAGCCATAGCAATAAGGTCTTAGAATTAGCTCTAATGAGATCCGTCAGCAGTAATGAATATTGTTTGTATTGTGTTGGGGACCTTCTTCGTCAAGGACTATAGGATGAGGTATTCAGCTTCCAGTACTCTTTTTAAAACTAACTTATTGCTTCTGAGAATAGCTTGGTCCACACATACTGGCCATGTCCATTCAAACAGTCTTGAGGACCATTTTGTTGTTTGAGAGAAAAGCAACAGGACAAAGTATAAATCTTTTTCTTTTTTTTTTTTTTTTTTTTTTTTTTGGTTTTTTGGTTTTTTGAGACAGGGTTTCTCTGTGCAGCCTGGGCTGTCCTGGAACTCACTCTGTAGACCAGGCTGGCCTCGAACTCAGAAATCCGCCTGCTTCTGCCTCCCAAGTGCTGGGATTAAAGGCGTGCGCCACCACAAAGTATAAATCTTATCAGCTGTTGGGAGGAGGCGGGCGGAAAGGAGGGGGGGGCATAGGTTTTGGGAGATTGGCGGCAGCTGTAGACAGGAGCCTCTAGAGTAGTGCCATGGAGGCCCACCCAGCACATCAGGCTAGGTGTGGTGGATCCCCTAAAACTGTAGGTATATACTGAGCCACCATGTGGGTGCTGGGAATCAAGTCGAGATCCTCTGGAAGAGCAGCTGACCCTTTTCTGCTGTACTATCTCTCCTGTCCTCCCTCGACATTTCTTAATATAAAAGGAACGTCAGCTTCTTTTCCCACTGCTGCCCCTGCCTGGGGATGCTGTCTTGAGTGTACTGCCGGGTGTGCACCTCTGTGGGTCCTCCCCAGTCTGTGGAGGCAGGTGTCAGTTTGTAAAGATCCCTGTGTTAGTCCACCATGGTGTCTCAGGTATGTTCACATCAGCTGTGTTAGGTTCTTTATTGTGTGGACAGCATAGTCAGAACTTACTCTGTGCTATCAACTCTAAGAGCACATCTCAGTTTTCATAGAAACATTTCTCAACATTTGATGGTTCCTGCTATGGAAGTTACTCTTTCTATAATATATATTTAGGTTATCTAGAATTTGCATATATATTTTAGAATTATATACTATTATTTGCATTACAGAATTTGCATGAAAAATAGAAAGGGTCATACACTTTCATTATATTGGGACTTCATCTACCTTATATGATTTAACAACTTGATAATTGGGCTGGAGAGATGGCTCAGTGGTTAAGAGCACTGACTGCTCTTCCAGAGGTCCTGAGTTCAAATCCCAGCAACCACATGATGGCTCACAACCATCTGTAATGAGATCTGATGCCCTCTTCTGGTGTGTCTGAAGACAGCTACAGTGTATTCATATATAAATAAATAAATAAATTAAAAAAAAAAAAACAACTTGATAATTGTTTTAGACATACTTTTAACCTCTTGTATTTTTCTTTCCTAAATTCTGATTCTGGTTTTCAAACTGCCTACTTCTTGTGATATATTAAAGCTAGTTGTATTGCCTCTCATTTTCATATTTTTTTATTTTAAAACAAAACAAAAGAATGAAAGAGATGCAGGCTGGAGGGATGGCTCTGTGTTTAGAGCCCCTTCTGTGCCCGCCTCAGGCAGCTCACAGCCACCTGTAACTCCGAGGCCGTTTTCCAACTTTAGCTGGTACCTGAGTGACATACATTCACATAGGTGTATACATAAGATAAAATAAAATCTTTGAAAAAGATGAGATGATTGCTTCTTTGTTAATCTGTTGTGCATATGGTTATTGCAGTCCCAATTGAGAGTGACCCTGGAGTCTGTCTGGGCATGTCTACATGTTAACTGTTTCCCTTTGTTCTTCGTAGAACGGACATGGTGGTGGTCGAAGTCAGCACACAGTAGACAGTAAGTGTCTATTCTCATCATGGCTGGTGGAGTCCAGACAAAAATGTGGCTAATGTAATACAGAAAGCCCAAGGATAAAATGGCTTCAGCCAAACCCAATTGCAAAAACATTATAGCCCATTCCTTCATTATCCACACTGGATTGAATCCTTGCTGTCCTTCCACACATCCCTAATCCTAGCGTCAGTGTCCACCCCGGTCCTTCTACTCATTTACATCGAAATCTTCCCTCTCACAAATATGCAGTAAAATGCCCATCATGCTGTTTATATCCTCTAAAATTTGTCACTTTGTGGTCTCTTCTCTAATTGAATTCCCATGCCACATTATAGCAGCTGTAATAGCCCTACTCAATTTATTTTACATACGCCTAATTTCTGCCACCACACTATCGTGCTGGCAACAAGCAGTATTAAGATATTTAATATTAGTTCAATCAGTAGAGTGCCTACCTAGCATACATACAACTCTGAGTTCTATCTCCAGGACTACAGATAGACTGGTGGACGCCTGTAATAGTAGCATTTGGAAGGCAGGAGAATTGGTAGTTCATGGTTCTTACTGACTACATAGTGAGTTGAGACCCTATGTCTAAAAGAAAAAAAAAAAAGACTAAACAACACCCTTCCTTCAAAAAGGGCAAAATGTCTGATGGGTATTATGGTGGTCCATAGTTCAATTCCAGTTTTCAGGAGTTCAAAGTCATCCTCCATTACTTAGAGAGTTCAAGGTTGGCCTGTGTTACATGAAGCTCTTGTCTCAGATAAAATGAGTTGACCAAGCTGCAGGCTGGACTCCTTGCCTGCTTTCAGCTCTGGACGCACAGGGATGTCTGTCTGCAGGAGAGAGGGCAAGATCCTCTCTCTGCCTGGAAAAGGCAATGATGTTTCCAAGCACATATCTGATTTGTATGTGTTGATGACAATGGTGCTGAGTCTTTTCCAAAGGTCAGTGATTGTGTGCACATCATCCCCCAAACACAAAAACCTTGTTATCGGGGCTCCGTGATTAGTCTTTTGAAACAAAAACCCAAGAAAGTTCCCACTGTGCATTTGCAAGTTCATGTTGGTGTGAATTCTTCCTTCAGAGTTGAGATGAACAGACCGTTCCACATTTGCCCTCAGATGGCTGTGTACCCTGCCTGGCACCTGTGCCTTCATAGGTGCCCAGTGGTTGGAAGTCCTCTGGGGAGGTCTTGCAAATCTGCCCTTCACTCCCTCATGCCATGCTTTTGAAAGGAAACTTATCTCACTATGTATACATCAGATTTTGCCCAGCTTTTCTGGGTGCTTATGTCAAACTTCTGGAAATAGGAGAAATATGTCTGCACCAAGACAATTTAAAGGTGTCATTTTCTGTTCTTTGTGCAGACCTATCACATCTGGTTCTGTAGTCCTATCTGCAAGAAATAGAGCTGTCTGATGACATGCTTGTACGCTGTTGTAGGAAACAACACTGTCCATCATGACTGCATGTGGCTAGGTACTGTGTGTGTCTCCATACTGTGGAATGCTTCTGGAGCTAAAGAGATACACATGTCTTGCAGCTACTTCATCCGCTCCAGCTCCAAAGAAGACAGACCCCTCTGCCCTCCCGTCTGTGAGCTCCCTACCCAGCCCCGCCTCCTGCACTGCACTTCTGCCCTCTTCGTCCCAGCACACTGCCACTTTGCCCTCCTTGACCCCGTCTGGTGACCTGTCCAGCAGCCCTCTTTCTCAGATCAACAGGTATGTGTGTCACAGTGAGAAAAGGAATGGATGCAGACTTGTGGATGTATCGTGTCGCCTGTGATGGGGTGGTCACATCCCAAAGTCACTAGGAATGGAGACCTTGACTACTTCTAATGTTTCTGCTGGCATAATCTCAGGTCTCCTGGGGATGCAGAGGTTCACAAACACATACTTAGTGCCTGACCTTTTCCCGTTTCTTAGCCCACCCACTCTAGTGTGGAGTCAGAAGGATTGATAAGTACCTGACTTGGGTTTGTCCTGATTCCAGAGAGATATTATTGGAATAGGGTACAAGAAAAGGAGTTAGCTAGTCACCCAGACCTTCTGGGTAGAGTTCTTGATCCATTTAGTTCAGAGCAGAAATGTTTGGTTAGAGCTCAGAATCTGATGGAATTCAAGCTCAACTCTTAGTTGCAGGTCATACATACATAGAACCTCTCTTGACTGGCAGTGCTCGGAGCTTTCCAGGTGCATTCCTGGTTTGACCATTTTGATAGCCCAAAAAGGTTGTAATTTATCGAAGCCAGGATGTATCGGGTATGTCATAGTGAATCACCCTGTAGGACATTTCTGACCGTCAGGACTTTGTCACAGGATTCTATGGGCATAAAGTCTGATGTCCAGGTATCTTCAGGGACAGGATTGATTTTGATTATAGCCTGTCAAACCAGGTAGGTATTGTTTCTATGGATAAACACACATGTTTGGACCTGTGGTCTTCTGTTTTATCCTGTAGCTCCCTTTCTGGCCACCAGAACAGCTTGTCCTCTGCACATACAACGCGTTCCACAAGTACGCCACATACTGTAAGTGCCCACCCCTTCTGCTCAGTATACCCAGACCTTCTGTCCCATGCTTACTGGGAAATTGATTGATCCAGAGTCTCCTGGTTGGCTGCCTTAGAACCCTGTGCTTGTCCTTGGGAGATGAGGCGCGTGTCTGATCTCAAGGACTTGAGAGTGCTCTTTTCATTATAGGACACATCTGATCAGCAGTGACAGTTTATTTCTTGGTCTTTTTTTTTTACTTGACATTTTGTTGCCAGTAGGTTGTTTCTAATTCCTATCTACAGTATCTTTAATTGTCGTGCCTCTGGTCTAAAGGATATAATTAAGTTGTATCCTGTTGTGTTGATGTCATGGGAGCTTTGCTAGTGGTAGTGACTAGACGTCCACTTTAATCAGCCTTCATAGTGTCTTCCCATGCTTAGAGATAGACAGTTTGAGGGAAGAGTTTTTACAAAGTCAGGAAGTCCAGGCCACGAGAGTTTCCAGGTGGAAGTATCAACTTGGGGACGCTCTTAATTTATTTCCTCCAAACATGTAAATGCATATGCATATTTTTTTTAATGTGAATGAGTGTTTGCCCACATTTGTATGTATACCATGTATGTGTCTGTTACCCACAGAAGTCAGGAAGAGTGTTTCAGATTCCCTGGATTTAAAGCTATAGAGAATTATGAAACACCAAGTATATGCTCGGGACCAAACCTAGGTCAGCAAGAGCAGCCTGTGGTTTTAATCACTGCACCATCACCACGGCACCCTTTTGATTTATACGTGTGCGTCCCTGTCAAGAAGAACAATAAGTACCCTTATAGATTGCTTGCTTGGTTGGACTGTCTGAGACAGTCTCACTGTCCTGATGGCTGGATCTGGCCTTTCCACTAAATACAGTGATTCCTAAGACAGAGAGGCTTCCTCAGCTTATTATAGTCACCAAGTACTGGCATTGAACACTGCCTGTCTGTTCAGCCATAGGACCAATTGCAGTCAAACCCACATGTCTTGGCTTTTGTTTTGCCAGCATGCCAGTGTGGAGAGCACCGTGTCCTCAGCTGCCTTCTCAACAGCAGCAACCTCTGCTCCAAGTGCCCCATCCTCAGGGGTTGTCCTGCCTGGGAGCATGAGCACTGTGAGCAGCCTATGCCTGAGTGGGACCACTGTGAGCGTACCTAGCAGCAGTACCAGGGCCACAGCCTTGGTGACCTCAGGTGTGTACCCCAAGCCTCTTACAACCCCCTCAATAGTGAACTTCCAGACCTGTACCTCCACCCTTAAGCAGCCAAGGAGCCTCCTTGAGAAATGAGTTATCCATTGTGTTTGTTTTTTTCTCTTTGTAGGCAAAGCACCCCCAAACCTGCCTCAAGGGGTGCCTCCCCTGCTACACAATCAGTACCTCGTGGGCCCTGGAGGGCTGCTTCCTGCTTATCCGGTGAGTAGGACTGACGCCTGGTTGGCTTAGGGGCTGGCACTGGGCAGGCCCACCTGGTGAGAGTGCTTGTGAGTTACACCAGGGCTGCTGTGTCTGTCTCATACCTGGTGGATCTTTCTCCTTCTAGAGTCTATCTACTTAGGTCGGATCTTTTCCTATAACATCTGACCCAAGTCCCAGTCTTTGTTTGTTTGTTTATTTGTTTGTTTGTTTGTTCGAGACAGGGTTTCTCTGTGTAAGCCTGGCTGTCCTGGAACTCACTCTGTAGACCAGGCTGGGCTCGAACTCAGAAATCTGCCTGCCTCTGCCTCCCAAGTGCTGGGATTAAAGGCGTGCGCCACCACCGCCCGGCCCAAGTCCCATTCTTGAGTGTGTCTGTTTTGGCTCCTTGTGTGTCTCTAGTGTATGGTCCTAATGTATCCGCTGACTCTCCTTCAGATCTACGGTTATGAGGAGCTCCAGATGCTGCAGTCACGGCTGCCAATGGTGAGTGACAGGTGACTTAGGACCTTGGCAGGAGAACTCACAGGCTCCTTGCTTGACAGCCACTGAGCTTGGACTTCAGACTCCTCAACTGTGGGTCTCCCCCATACCACTTTTGAGACGCTATGTCCAGTGGTGATATGCTTGGTTGACCATTGTCTTGGAAGATAAGGTTCATCCCTGGGGAATGAGGGACTCTGGGACCATGAGCACTCACTGTAAGACATGTCTCATGCCAAATGCATTGTCTTATTTCCTGCTCCATTAAAAAACAACAACAAACAAAAACTAAAAACAGCTGAACATAGAGGTAATCCCAGAACAGACCTGTCATACACTCCAAGACTTTCCAGTTGTGCCTGGAAATGTTACACTGCCTTCATCTGACTCTTGGGCGCATGTCTGCATTCATGAGGGCAGCATTGCTGCTCTGCCCTAGGAGGAGGAGTGGCACATGTTGGCTGTCTTTATAAAGTATCATCTGGGTCTAGCCTTCGCCTTTATTTACAAGAATGCTGGCCCTGGTGCTGCTATCTCACCTCAGCCAGGGCTGTCTATATTCTGAGCCTGGGTCTGGGGATAAAGTAATGAGTCTTGTGGGAAAGACCGCGTGAGCAGCAGGGAAGCAGGGGGCAGGCACGAGCAGCAGTGTCCTCTGGGTAGACAGTCTCAGCCTGATGCTTTCTAGGGACTCTGTCATTGACAGACACAGAATGTGCTCTTTCATGCTCTCAGAGGAAAGGACTGCCCAGGCACAGGCCTGCCTGTGCTTGCTACAGTGCTCACTCTTTCTCTACACCCCTCCTGTCGCTTTGTGGACTGCCGGACTGCCCATAGTGTACAGCTGCAGGTAGCACCTCCACTGCATCTACTGGAGTGGAGTCCTTTCAGAGGGAGAGCCTGGCTGAGGGCCTGCTGAGTCTAACAGGACATAGAAGAGCCCCTGGGTAGAATACAAGGAAGCCTGGAGTGACACACACAGCTGGATTCATCCTTGGGGGCTTTCTTGCCTCTCCACCCATACCCATGAGTCTCTGTTTCCTTGAATCTTCTGTGGGTACAAGTTTGGCTAGGATTTATGTAGATGCACCATGTGTGCCTGATGACCACAGGACAGAAGACATCATATCCCTGCAACTGAAGTTACAGAGTTATAAACCACCACATAGGTTACTGGAAGAACATCCAGTTTTCTTAACCACTGAGCCATCTCTCCAGCCCCTCCTTTTTCCGTTTTAAACATTATATCTTATGGGACATCTCCAGTGAGTCCACAGTGGAAACAAGCTTCACATTTTTTTCTTGGGTCATATTTAGCCTTCCTTTGGGGCTAAACTGCTGCCTTTGGATTTCCTCACCTGTGAAGGACCCCCTTCTGGGCCTCATTCCTACTAGTCTCCTTTGTCTCCAACTGTTCCTGAAAGCTCCTTGCCACTTGTGCCTCTTAGAATTCTGGCTGAGGATTACATGGTTTCCTGGAGTTTGCCCAGAGTTGCAGCCTAAGGGATAGGAATGCCATTTCCAGTTGATATGTTCTTGTCTCGTTTGACTCAGACTTGGGCAGCCCAGGGCCCTGGGTGGTGAGGGCCAGGGCAGGGCTTCTTCATCAGAGTGCAGCTTCTGTGGCCTGTGTTTGCACTCTTGCACCTGCCATTTGGCTCTATTGCTGGAGCTAAATGAGTTGGCAGAGGCTAGACTACTTAGGGCCTAGACTCGTGGTCTTATGCGTGCCTGGCACTGCTCTCTGCGCCTCTAAGTCCCCTAGGCTTAATCTCTTTTTACCTTTCCTATGGCTGTCCGTTTAGTCTCTCACACAGTAAGGACCAGTAAGGTTGGTTTGGCCTATAGCATTTACCAAGTCTCTGTATGTGCTGTGAAGAGTCTGGTTCAGGCATTGAGGTTTGGCACTCTGCCCATGTTGTCTGCTAAAGCAGAGGTTCTGAGCTGCACACACCCAAGGTACTGTCATCTGTGCAGCTCTCTGGATGGCTGCCTGTTCTGGGAGTGTGCCATCGCTCAGAGTGTGTGTACGTGTTCTGTCAGCTGGATCTGCTCTCTGTGAGGTGGGTGAGACCATTGCTCAGTGCGTCTCCCTGGTCTTTCCTAGGATTACTATGGAATCCCCTTTGCAGCACCCACAGCCCTTGCCAGCCGAGATGGGAATCTAGCTAATAATCCATATTCAGGTTAGTTGGCTCAGCGGGCAAGAGTTGGGGAGGTGATGGGTTGACCTGTCTAGCCATAGGAGGCCAGAAGGTGGATGAGGAGGGCTGAGGCAGTCTTTGAAGGTGTGAGTACTTGAGCTGGCAGTTTGATCTATTCCTGTTTATAACAGCTAGCCTGGCCTTTCCCCTGATAATACAAGGGTCAGTGTTCTTTTAGGTGACGTCACCAAGTTTGGCCGAGGAGACTCTGCATCCCCTGCACCTCCCGCAGCACCAGCTCAGGCACAGCAGAGCCAGTCTCAGACCCACCACACGGCCCAGCAGCCCTTTTTGAATCCTGCTCTGCCACCTGGCTACAGCTATACTGGCCTCTCCTACTACACAGGCGTGCCCAGTGCCTTCCAGTATGGGCCCACTATGTTTGTGAGTATTTCTGCAGATTGTTTCCTGGGCTAAGGTTTCCTCAAAGCTTGAAACTTTGGGCATGTTTTCCAGCATCTGTCAGCAACAGATGAGTGTGGGCACAGGCCTGTTTAGTTACATGTAGCCTGTGAAGATGGTTCAGGCTCAGAGTCCATTCCCCAGCTCCTTTATACTCGCCATGGAGTGACTGCACTCAGGAATCTACTGGTTCTCTTGGTTCTGACTTAGTTTTGCCCAATGCTTAAGCCAAGGCTGATATCCTCTTTGCCTTTTCTTACACTCAAACCTCCCGTTTGTCCAACCAGGTCCCTCCAACCTCAGCTAAGCAGCACGGTGTGACCCTTAGCACTCCCCCGGCCCCCTTCCAGCAGGCCAGTGGCTATGGGCAGCACACTTACAGCACAGGTAAGGACCACACCCAGTACTGGGGGCACATGCTCGGACAGACCTGCTTAGCCCACACATGCCTCTTGTGCCCTGCCTTGCTAGGTTATGATGATTTGACCCAGGGGACAGCGGCAGGAGACTACACCAAGGGTGGCTATGGTGGATCATCTCAGGCACCAAACAAGTCGACTGGTTCTGGGCCTGGCAAAGGTAGTGTCAATTCCTCTCCAGGACTGTAACCTGGAGTACTTGTCTCCTATCTGACAGTTGTTTTTCTTCCTAGGAGTGTCAGTATCTTCAGGCACTGGTTTACCTGATATGACTGGGTCTGTCTACAACAAGACACAGGTGAGGCTGCACGGAGCTGGGCACAGGGAGAGTGGAGAAGAGTGCAGTTCAACCTGACCTTTGTTGTCATCTTTATCCTACAGACTTTTGACAAGCAGGGATTTCATGCAGGGACTCCTCCACCTTTCAGCCTGCCTTCGGCCTTGGGCTCCACTGGGCCCCTGGCCCCTGGAGCGGCCCCTGGCTACGCACCTGCCCCATTCCTGCACATCATGCCGGCCCACCAGCAGCCCCACTCCCAGCTGCTGCACCACCACCTACCGCAGGATGCCCCGGTGAGCGCAGTAATGGAGGCAGCCTCCCCACTTTGGGCCTGGGGTTCTGTTCCAACCTTTATAGCCTTTTCTCCTCTTCCTCCTCAGAGTGGCTCTGGTCAGCGCAGCCAGCCCAGCTCCCTGCAGCCCAAGTCTCAAGCCTCCAAACCCACCTACGGCAACTCTCCATACTGGACAAACTAGACCCTGAAAAGGAGAGGGTGGGCTCCTTGGGCAGGGTGTACTCTGGGCAGGAGAGAACACATGGAGCGCATTTCTGGGAGCCCGGTGCCCTTCCTAGGATTCTGAGACATAACTGTCAGCCTCTGTGGGAAGCCTGCCTCCCAGCCCCACTGTTGTATGTAATGTATTTATGTATGTATTTGTAAATGTGTAGAAGCCTGGAGGAGCTGTGGCTACGGGTAGCATACAGGTGTGCTCTCCCGTCTGGACACCTTTACTATAGCCAAGCAGGCCCCACCCCAACCCTCTGCCTTCAGACCTTCCATGTGGCCCCAGCTCAGTGGGCTGCTGGGTGTGTCACTGAAGGACTGGTGGTTTGGGGCTGGGTCAGTACCAATGAAGAATCACGACTTATCTCATTCCCTGTGAACCATTATGTTTTTCCCTCTGTAATTACTTCATACTTGTTTTTGAAAAACTAATCCTTTTGTCATTTGTCATGGTGCCCCTTCCAACAAATCTTAATCTGGAAATAAAAGAAATGACCCCTGTCCAGCATAAGCCTGGTGCCCAAAGCACAGCAGGGGCTTCTGCTTTGGGTCTGGTCCTGCTGTAGGGACTTGTCTTTTCTGACCAACCATTTTAAAAAAACATCTGAACTAGGTCTCAGAGATGTTCAGCCAGTGAGCTCCCTTATAAAGAAATCAAAGATCTGCTTCCATCTCAGTGAAAGCCTGTCTCCACACAAAGGCTCCTCTACACCAGTTGTCCTGAACCAGGTGGACAACTGATTCAGGGTTTTCTCTTGCCCAAACTCCACCTAATAAAGTTCTGAAAGTAAGCTGGTCTGTGTGTGTTGTGGCTAGGGGGAGGCACTATCACAGGGATGGTTGCTTAAATGCTGTCTCCTTCAGGGCCTAAGCTGTGCCTAAGTCAAGTTCATGTGCCTTTTCTGGCCACCTTGTAAGACTCAGGACCAGGGGCCACCTTTATATGGCCAGAGAACGGAAGTGCCAGGATAGTGCTGTCCAAACCCCAACTAACTGGTCTGGAAAGAAGCCAAGTGCCTGGACTCAAAGCTGGAGAGCTGCCATGGACAGTCACCTATCCTACACTGTCTGTGACTGTTGGTTAAGTCAGAGGCTGGGGACAGGCAAGATTCAGTACCCTGAAGTTGTTGGGGCTCTCAACACCATTGTTTCAGACCAGGCTAATGAGAAAAAGGGGGTGCTTATTCAGAATGCTTTAGGTGGACTCCTTAGGTAGGCAGGGGGATTAGTTTGAGACTGGCCATGTCTACATGTGGGACCCTGTTTTTAAAGCAATTTTTTGATTAATGACCTCAAGTTTGGGGGAACTTTGGGGATCACAACATGGAACGCTGATACATAGTTAGTGGTCAAGCCATCAGACACTTAAGCTTTTGACCCATAGCTTAGGACCCTAGCCAGAAGAAAAGGCAAGCATCTGAGAGACAGGGCCTCCTTGTTGTGTCCTTTCTCCTTCCTCTGCTGCCTGAGTGTGCTGCCTGCTGTGCTCTTGCTTGAACACAACTATGTTGGCCCCATGGCAACACCCTTCAGGCAAGTTAAACAAATGTCCTTGCCTTAACAGTCTGCTTGAGGGTAGGTAGTTTATAAGAAAGGGTTGGTGGAGCCCAAAGAGTGGCTTTAACTTTTTTAGCAGAGACCTGGCAATTACCTAGGTGACATTTTTTTTTAAAAAAAAAACAAGGGGATGGGAGGTCAACCCATGGGGAAGTAGCAATACAGGTATTTTTTATTTCACATTTTTATTAGACAGATGGGCAGAAAGACAGATCACTAAAGGGGAAGCCAACAAAACGCATCAGATAAACGTCTCATAAGTTAAACTGAAAAACCATCTACAATTTTAGCTAAGAGAACTATTAAAGTCAGGATGTCCGCTGGTTTCAGTTGAAATTGCATCTGAATCTTTTCAGTTGTAAATGTAAACCTCGTTGATCAGGGTTGGGGAGAGGGCAGTTCCCCTCCCAGTGGACAGGATCAAACATTAGGGAACCCACAAACAGTGGCCAGGAGAGGAGGGGTAAGAAGTGATTACAAAAGTAGTGTGGCTAAATAGAATTCTGGAATGGTAAGAGAAAGTAGGGAGAGCAAGAGAAGCAGTAACGAAATCATGACAGTAAAGAGCACTCATCCAGTGAGGCCTTGATCAGACCCAAGAGGAAACCTCTGCTTCTCAGACCGAGTCAACAGCACAACTGCTCAAAATGGCTGCTCACACCAAAAAGCTATCTTTCCCAAAAGGAAAAATTAGCACACTTAAGACGTTAGCCACAGGACAGGTTTTCAGTGTAGACTATAGCCTCTGGCTGCCAGTAAGTCCACATTGCCTTGGAACTGGCCACACCCACAAAGGCTGAGAGGTCCACTTCTACTTGCTTCTCTGGCTGGCTTCCTGAGTCAGCACGCACCACAGGCCAGCAGGACACTCCCACAGACCCAAGGTGCCTGGCATGCCCTGGACTTTAGTACCAAAAGGCTTAGTTTTAGGGTACCAAGAGAGTAAGACCAAACAACTGGCTACAAACTTTCAGGAGTGAGCGCTGGGTAAAGGCAGGATCAGAAAGGATTTGGCTGTAGGTCTGCAGGCTATCTGGGAGCAACAAACTGGAAGTGTCTCTTTACTGTGTTCCTGAATCAGGAGACTCAGGTACAGCCCTGACCCTGTGGAGATAAATTTCACTAAATTTCAGTGTTCACTAATATTCAACACTAAATATTCTCATTTAATAACAGACCAAACTTTTGAAGCCAGGGAGCTGCTGAGAAATAGTATTCATTCAGAAGTGTGAAGAGAGAATGAAAACCCTGAGATCAGAAAGGAAAGGGAACCATGGAAGGAGGAAGCATGGTCTACTTAACAGAGGAGGATCAATCCTTCCCAGTTCCCATCTGCCCTTTGGTTCTTTCTGAGCTGTGATCTGAGGATAAGGAACGACCCTGGCACACAAGAATCTTAACCTCCTATCCTTGAAGTCTGGTTTTACTTAGTTTGCTAAACAAAACCCTCTTTGAGATCTGGGGTGCAGCGGCTGCAGCTCAGTTGTGCAGGGAGCCACATGTGACTGACACATGGGAAAAGACACTGCCTGTGGTTGGCAGGGGCCCTGCCAAAGTGAGACAAGCCCAGGGGAAGCGCCACACGCCATTTCTGCTTGCACTCCTTGGCCGAAGTACATTGAAAGGAGAAAAAAGTGCAGATCATATCCAATGAGGAAAACAACCAGTCCCAAGTTGCACACATCACAACTATCACTATCAAGATAAGCAGTTCAATGAAAACCAAAACCTTAACACATGCACCTAGGATTAATACTGAGTAATTAAAGGTGGCTACTTAAATAAAAACCTCTTATGAGTACCTGGGATGCATCCTCTCCCAACAGCAGCCACCAGCAGTCCTCACTATTCCCTCAGGGGCATCAGTCAACACTGGGATAGTTCTTTACTTTAACCTCCCTCACCCTCCCCACCCCACTTTCTGGTGGAAAGAGTTACCCTACCTTTAAAATAAATAGCAACCAAGTGCTCAGTTCTATGTAAAGTATGAATATTTATTTCAGGCTTTAGATCCCAATCAATTTCAAAAAACAAAATCTGATATCTCCTCAGAGTAGCTGCAGCCTCCATATTGGGATGGTCTTACAGAGGCAGCACATTTCATCAGACTTCGCAAGAGTAAGTCCCTGATGCCCACCGCAGCCCAGCCTTAGGAAGGGAAAGAAACAAGACTCACCACCACGGGGCTGAACAGATGCACACGCACTGATGGAAAGGAGCAGCTAAACCTTGGCAAATTGGCTTTTTTTTTTTTAAGTTTGTTTTGTGGGCTTTTTTTGTATTTTTTATTTTTTTAGGTTTTGTTTTTTTTTTTTTCTTTTTTTTTCCCATTTTCTTTTGCTACCCAATATATGCAGCACTTGTGGACTCCCAGTGGGCTCCCAGCTTTAAACACAATGTCTTGAACAGACTAATTCTTCTCAAGAATCTAAAAACAGACAAAGGTGTTTTGCTGTGAACATTCTGCAGAGATGAGGTGAGGTGGGAGTTTGAGGGGTGGTGGCTGTTTTTAAAAAAGAATCAATACAGTGATGGAAGGGAAAGAATGCAAGACTTCAGACATTCTGTGGAGGGAGCTTCCTCTCCAGTAAAGGTCCATAAGAAGGAGCAAACTGAGATCCGCAAGGGGAGTCAGCAGGGCTGTTTGCTCCCCCACCCCATGAGTAAGTTCCTGCTGAGCGGCCACTGTAGACCCCCACTTGCTCCCCTCCCTTTGGCCTGAGACGTCAGGGCGGTACAGGGCACTGAAGGAACATGTCACGACTCCTCATTTCCAGAGTCATCATCATCATAACAGTCGGCATCTTCTTCCTCCTCATCTTCATCATCAATGTCGTCATCATACAAGTCGTCATAAAGCAAATCTGAGCTGTTGTCATTGGAAGGCACTTTAGTTTTGATGCAGTATTCTGCCAGGGTTGTGGGGACCTTCACTCCATCCTTCTCTGCTTCAGCTTTAGTGGCTGAGACCTGTTTCCTGGACAGAGGGTAACACAGGAACGGTTTGAGAGGGTCTCATGCCAACCCACAGGGCTTCAGCTCTATAGCCCTCTAGCCCTTCGTTTCCTTAGTTACGGTATTATTATAGATTGTTAGGCAAAGACATCACACTTGGATTAAGTGCCTGTTTTGAAGGCAGTCTTATACCTGAGCATAATCAGACTGCCTGTCACTCACGTCTCACACTCACATACAGCAGATATGCTGTATCACAGCAAGGCTCTTAGCCGTCGGAAACCTTCGTGTCACAGAGGGCCTTTGCCCTAACACTTAGCCTTGTTTGAGGTTTTCTTCTTTGCTTCTTCACAGATCAGGGTAGCTAGCCCCAGAATATCTGAAAGTTCCATCTTTTGCCTCCCATCTCCTGTAAGGGTCGGGAGAGTACAGATGCGTATATACTACTGGCTGTATATATGGGTTCTCAATGTTTTTTAAATGTGGGTTCAGGTTTGCAAGGGTGCTGGGAAGCAAGCACTGTACAACTGAGCTACACGCCCAGCATATTTCTACTGCCTCAAATAGATGAAGCTGATTACTGTCAGATTTTCTCTCTCATCTGCTAGATCCCCCAGGTCACCAAATCTCATTGTTTTGGGGTGGTAGGGGTGGAATGCTAGACAGGAGCTTCCAGCAGAGCCACACCCCCTGCCCACAATCCTCCTTAGACCTACTGCCTGGCTCCCATCACAATGTGCCCTGTCGTCCTCAGTCTTTTCCACTGTGCTGTGACAGATTGGCAGGTAACAGCTCTGCAACAAAATGCTGCCTATGTAAGTATAAAACGGTTTCTTGCCAAAAGTACAAAAACCAAAGCCATTATGACTGGGGAAGCGTGGCTACTGAAGAAACTGAAAACATAAGAACACCACTCTCCTGAAGCTTCAGTCTGATGCCAGGCCTTGCCCACTGATATTCTTGTAGGTTCTCTAGGTCTTTACAGTTTACACTAACTATACGTTCACTTTTTTATCTGAATCATTCACCTAGGTGGCTGACCACTAAAACCAAGCAGGGCATAGGGATGTCCACTGTAATCCCAGTACCTAGGAGGCAGAGGCTGGATCTCTGTGTTAAGGCTAGCCTGGCTTAAACTGCACCCACACACATACACATATGCACACACAAGACAACCAACCAAAACAAACCCAGAAGTCTGTACTCCTGTCCAGTGAGTTCTCTTTGTTTATTGTGTTTTGTTTCTGTTTTGGGTTCTCTTTCAATAGCTAAATTCATT